ATCAGTGCATTACATCAGTTGAGTGCAGAAGTGCATTACATACATTACTTTGAAACATACTAAATATGTGTGCATTTCATATAATATTATCTGGAGTTATTAGATCATTCCTGGAAATTAATGGCTGCACCTTGTATTACCAGCTAATGTAAATGATGGAAATGTGATTGAAGAGTCCTACAAAGTAAGTCATTGTAAAGTGGTAAAACCGTACAGTTGCTGAAAATTCGATGTTTAATATATATTTGGAGGACGACACAGACAAAAAATACACCGCATTCTTTTCTCAAACAATGCAGTATCTAAATTATTTATTATTAATTATTGGAAAATAAAGGACATGTCTCATGTGTTTCAAATCAACAATGAGAATATTTTTTTTCCCCCTGTGCATGTTGATGGGAGCATACTACATTGTATCTTTTTGTGGTCGAGACTTAATTTTTGTTTTAAGTATAGTATGTATGAAGTTATGTATTAGTCACTTAAAAGTAATTGTTGGTCGTATGACACTTTTTCAAGAATACTTATGGTTTTAGTATAGGCCTAGATCTTATCAGTAGTCAATAAAATCATCAGTTTGCTAATTTTTTCATTTCTGTTTTTGAATAATTGTATTCAAAATAAATGTTATTTTTTTGGTTTCGAAACGTGTTTTTGCTGTATTTATTTGAAATAACTAATGTAATAATTAGTCTATGTTTCATTCTTTTTTCTGACCATATTCACTGCAGTCTGTAAATTTTATGGTAGAGTAAAAGCTTGATCACTCAGAAAGCTCAGAAAATACTGGATAAGTGAAAATTCTACATAGTTGAGTGTATAAAAAGTATGATTCATAGTAGAGAAGCCAAATGGGGGGGGGGAGTTGAGGTTTAAAATTGCAAAAATAACTGTCTTATTTGTTATTAGCTTGAATATCAAAAGCCTGCATTTAACATCATGTAAAATTTTAAAACAGAAATGCATTTCAGACATAAAAATCAACATGCATTTTTAGGCCATCTTCCAATTATGAAATGCTGTCTACCATGAGAGTTGGTGGATATCTTGCTAGACATGTGGCAGTCTTTTCAATAGGAGTTTAAAAGAACTGATCACTATGTTTTTAGTTATATAATTAAGGTATTCAAGTTACAGCTATAGAATATTAAGCTGCTTGTTGTGATGTTTTACTTTGCATCACCATTGTTTATCATTTTCAAATTTAATTGTATATCATATCCATTAACAAATACTTTTCTTTATGCCATGATCCTGATTTAATTTTGTAAATTTACTCTACTGCATGCTGTTACATTTAGGGCGTGTTCCAAATTTTAATCATTTAGTTTTCAAAAAGTGAGGGGAAAACTGATAAATAGCAGTTAATTGTCATCCTACACTATAACTGTCTTATGGAAAATTTATAGAGACATTAGGTTTTTTTGGGGGGGAAGCAGGAAAGGTGAAAAATAGCAAATGCCTTCACCAGGAATTGAACCACGGACCTCTGGAATACCGGCTCAGTGTGCAGAACCACTACACCATGAAGGCACACTAGGAAAGCAGGAGAAATACCTTATAAATTAATAGGCTTAACCTAAAAGCAAAGTGTGATACATCATTCTTAGACATTATTGATACTAAATGACATTCTTTGGTGACATGTTTTATTAGTTCTGAGTTGGTATTTCTATATATGCTTTATTGATGCTTTTACAAGTCTCTCATTTGCTTAATTTTCCATGCAAAATTATTTTGAAATACAGTACAAAGTCCGTAATCCGGAATGATCTATAATCTGGACCTCAAAGCCACAAACTTTTTTTTGTATGCTTTATGCATGCGCGTTTAATGTATAATGGACGGTATAAGCTAGGCTAAAATTATCTTTACTGATTCTAAGGCATTTCAGTTAATGTTGCAGATTGCGCTGTTCCTTAATCTTCTAATTGGATCCAGTTTATTATTTTTTGAAGACTGTTAGAGCAATTTTATAAAAAAATTAAGCTTGAATTTTCAATTATGTCAAAAAGAGTTTCCAATTCTGGTGCTGCCAAAGGATCTACAAAGCAAAAGCATGTTTCGATGTCCATCAAACAAAAAGTGGAATTACTGCAAAAAATGGATAAAGGCCTATCCGTCTCAAAATTATGCAAGGAGTATGACATAAGCAAAAAGAAAAAGGAACTTTTTGAATTTTTTGTGGATTCTGACACCCCACTTGCAATGAATAACAGAAAAAGGGTTCGTTATGCTAAAAGTGATGATCATGACAATGTGATGATTGAATGGGTCAGACAGCATCGCAGCGAGGGTGTGCCATTGACGGGTCCAATGCTAATGGCTCAAGCCAAAATATTTCATGAAGAAATGAACTTAAACACTGAGTGCACATATTCAACAGGTTGGTTAACCAAATTTAAAAATTGCCGTTTTAGAAGACAAAAAATTTCAGGTGAAAAAGCTTCAGCTAATACTGAAGCTGCTGAACAATTTGCAGATGAATTCATTAAACTCATTACTAGTGAACAATTTTCTCCAGAAGAAATTTACAACGCTGATAAAACTGGTCTTTTCTGGCAATATGTACCGCAAAATACCTTTGGCAGCCTCTATAGAAAAGGCTCCAACTGGTGTCAAAGATTTCAAAGCGAGACTAACAATTTTAGCATGCGCATAATGCTGCAGGATTGCACAAGTGCAAATTTTCGTAATCGGAAAAGCATGCACAACCTCGAAACATTTAAAGGAGTTAACGAATTATTCCCTGTTATATATCGGGCAAATAAAAGAGCATGGATGACACAAACGTTGATGAATGATTGGTTTGAAAATCATTTAATACCCGAGCCCCGGCGACATTTGAATTCGGTTGGTTTACCTGATGACTCAAAGATAGTCCTGATTGTTGACAACTGTTCGGCGCATACTTCACTTAAAGTTTTAATGAAAGATAATGTATCCGTATTATTCTTCCCTCCAAATTGTATATCTATCATTCAGCTTGTGGATATGGGAATAGTGCATGCACTGAAATGCAAATATAAAGTAGCATTTTTTAAATATATGTAAGTTTCTTGAACAATGGCAAGACTAATCAAGACTTTTTGAAATTTTTTAGCATAGAATCTGCTGTGTGGAGCATCGCAATATTGTGGGAGGATGTGTCTCCAGATACACTGGAAAATGCTTGGCATAATTTATGGCCAGCTCTCATATTTCATGGTAAGGATGATGAAGATGATAGCCGTGAGTTTGAAAGTTTTCGGGCATAGCAAACTAAGGGTGAAATTTTCCAGTTATTGGATTTTGTAAAGAAATGTGGAGAAGCGGTAATAAATGAAGATTATATAACAGACGTTTTTCATTGCACCGACAATGCTCCAACCATCAATCAATTAACGGATGGCGAAATCTGTAGTATGGTTCTAGATCCAGAAAATACTGCTTCCGATAGTGAGGAAGGTGACAGAGAGGTTATTGAAAACGAAAAAATTTTGATTGACAAGTTAGTTGGTATTCTCAAAACAGCAATTGCAGGACTTGAACAGTGGAACTTTGTAACTGAACAAGAAATTGTCTGTTTATAGAATTAAAGAGAAAGTATTAGCACAAAAAACGAAGCAACTTAAACAACTTACATTGAAAGAAATGTTTAATAAAGTAAACAAATAAATATTAAGCTTTTTTTTTTTTTTTTTTTCTGGAAATTTTGATACCTTCTAGATCATAACTGCTCTTTATTTCATAAATTACGGTTTCATATTTTTAATTGTATAATTTCTGCATGCCATCTTACCGTATTTAAATCGATGATCTATAATCCGGAAAAAACCCTAATCCGGAATCGCCGAAGTCCCGTCGATTTCGGATTACGGACTTTGTACTGTATTTTTATTACATGGGCTTTTTGGTTAGTTGAATAGTCAGGCTTATGCTATATTAAAATAATTCAATAAATATATGTCGTAGGATTACTGTAAGATGATGAAGGAGGAGGTCAGAATGCTGAAAAGGGAGATTAAGTTTATTCTATATTGCAAGATCTTATTAAGGAGTATACAAGAGAGGAAAGGTTGGGAAGTGCTGGTCTAAATAAAGGCTGAAATTACTGAGAAGTAAGCAGCATTTCAGTCTGCTAAGCTAGATTATGCTCGTAACAAATTTAGGTTTAGCAGCAATATTTGTGTTTAGCTCAAAGGGAGATTGAGTGCTGTGTTTCAGTAGAACATTCTAAGAAAACTAGGCCTAGCCCTTCAAAAAATTGTTTTCTGGAAACTTTCAAAATGTCACCAAGTAGGTGGTAAAGCAACAGAGTTTACCAAATGCTGTCTACCTTCAGTAACCCATAATCAAAGTTTCCATAAGTTTGCCAGTTAATTACTCTAGGATTCATATCTAATGATTGTACAGAAAGTGTCCAATGTATAAAGCTGTCATTAAATATCAACATTTGTGCAAAACATAGGTCAACAGATTTAGCATAAGTGAAACTTTAAATTAGAAGGCATATAATCATAATGAGTTATTTTGGATTGCTTGCTTAAACTTTAATATCATGCCTAGAGAATGTATGCCCATCCATACAACACATTATAAAACAATTTGAGTTGAACAAAATGATTGAATATCAGTCGTTTTTCCCAATTTGATCCATTATAATTTAATGAGTTTGTTTTACAAGTTTTTCCTGATATTTCGTTCTAATTAATTTGCACCATTGTTAAATTATTGTTATTGTAGAAATTGTAAAAACATTTGTATAAAATTTTGCAGTGTTAAGCTTAAACTATTAAATGGCTAAAATTTTTTAAGGTTCAATTCTAAATGTTTAATTCATTCAAAAATATTATGCAAAATGAAAATTGATAAAACACTATTTCATAAATTAAGAAGAAATGTATTTAAATTAAATGTAACATTCTTATTTAAAATAAATTGATGCAAGTAATGCATGACATAATAAGTAATTAGAGGTTGCTTTAATAATTATTATTTTTATGTATATTTTCTAGGTCATTTGTCATAACATTGTAATATTAGAAAAGAAGACTTTGAAAGATATGCAGCCTTCTTTGTGATTTACTATACGGGTTGTTCTATAATTTTATGTCTGTCATACTTCCCACCCTTATCATTTATATCAAGTTTTCAGTTATTTGTCCAAATTAGTATTATTATATAGAGTGCTAATTGCTTTGTTCCTAAGTATATGATTCTGTTATAGTTTGTATTCCTAACAGTCATATCATTATGAATTATCCCCCTTCCAAAAAAAGTACGAAATTCTTTCATATTATTAATTCACAGTTTGACTGTACACAAATGAATTTAATGAATATTAATTTGTAACAAACTTGTTACAGATTATTTCAATTTATCTGCTTACTGTGAATGCTGCTGTTTTGAATAAAATATATACTGTCATTTTTCACTGGCATATTTTCTTTAATAGCATATTTACATCACAGTTTGTTAATATTTTAAACATCATATGCCCTTATAGATTATTTTGTTAAGTGTAAAACTGTTGTTAAATGACATGGCACACAAACTGCTAATTTTATTGTATTGTATTGCTAGTCAAAAATAATTTTTGAGTTATTATTCTGTACTTTTTAATTCAGAGAATTACAGATTGCCAAAAGCAAAAGCATTTGACTTACATTTAATATTCTACAATTTTGATTCCAGAAAACTTTCATGCATCTATTAATTTAACTAAATAATTATATATTTTCAAATTTATAATTATTTTTCGATTACATATAATAAAATCATAGCATTTACCTTATTTCTCTTTTTGAACTTTTAAAGTTTCTACGATGTCAGCAATTTTTTTTTTTTTTTTTTTAACATGGACATCTTTTTACAATTTTATAAACCTTTGATGAGCTTTAAAAATGTTATATTTTTAGCTGCTGTTCATGTGTCTTCTTTAATACTGTAAAATATTTTTCTCCTTCGTTCTTGCATTGGCTTTTAGTAGCATTTACCTTTGTACTATGTAATCTGTAGAAGGTGTTTTTTAAACAGTTTTATTGTATTTACTGGTTGTCATAATATGTGAAGGTAATATATTTTTAACAGTTATAAACCATAAAGTTTATAATATTTTATTTTTAAATCAAATGTTAAAACTTTTGATACATTTTCATTATTTCACTTCTATTTATTGTCATTACAATTTGTCTTTATTATTTTAAATAAACATTCATGTATTTAACATCAGTTATTTTGCTTTATTGAAAAATATATTCAAAAGCTTTATATGTTGAGAAAATTTGATGTAAATAGGCCATACTTGTTTAAGATTAAAACTGCAAAATGATCAAAGGAAGTAAGATTGAATAAATTTATTGAAATTTTAATTTTTATAAACGGTAAAAAAATTTAAGGAAAGAATTGCTGGAAAAATTTTTTGTGCAAAATGCATTTAATATAGGCTATGATGAATTATTAGAGATACACAAAAGTGAAGCTATATGATATAATCAAACCATTTCTAACACACTGGTCTAATGAATCCCATTCAGTCTTCAAGAAGTGTCTATTGTAACTCATGAAGGTTTGTAGTGGTGTTTGCCATCTAACAACTTCTTTAGCAAAATAGTCTAATGCATTTTCTAGGAAGATTAGAACTGGATATGTGGTTGGCAAGTCATCTTTTTTTAATGCACTCTTCATGTGAAGAAATTTTCTAGCAGAGCATCTGCATGTGAATGACAGATGTCATACATTATCTGGAAATTAGAACCAACAGCTGCATGACTAAACCTGACAGAATGATAATAGGATCTTGAACATATAGAATAAAGCATTTAAATTATATTTTAAAGCACATACTAAAATTTGTAGCTCTTTAAGTCTGGACCACAGCAATAAACTTAACTTCTTCAAAGAAATCATTCTGCTTGCTCTGATGGATGATATTGAGTTCCAAGTTTTCTCCAGATAAATTGACAATGTCCATCATTTTGCAAGCTGAATCTTTATTTACTGGTAAAGAGAAGAGCCTAGTCACCATCACTGTATGAGCATTATCGTGAGAAAAATACAAACTACAGGTCTCCTGGTACATAAACAAACATCATCAGGTCTTTGAAAACATTTTTGCAAAAAGTTATAAAAGCAGTTGTCTGGCAGTATGCATCTGAAGACTCTTAGCTTCTAATTCTACATTCGATGGCTTTGATCAGTATTGACTTGTTAGAAGTCTCATTCTAACATTCATAGCAGTCATGTTCTCACTGCTATGACACCACTTTGCCTAAATAATCAAATCCGAAGTTCGGTGTAATTTAGTGCTTATATGTAGCATGCAGAATGCTAGCTTACAAACTTTTCATGCACTGAAAAATGTATGAATTTCATTTTGTTGAGATTATATAGGCTACTTAATTTAAGAACATCTTAGTCTTTTGACTATCCAGTATGCATGTTTTTAACCTGTACATTTCGTATGGATATTTTTATATATTGTGCAACTTTTATGTCATTGATACATTAATTTTGCTGTTTTATCTTTAATTTAGAATAAGTGTGTAATTATAATTTCTGTTATCCACAATTCATTATTTGTAAGATATCCATGCCTAAGCAGTTTTTATAGCAATGTACTGAAATGGCTCATCAAACACTCATGTAGAGAATTCAGGAGTAGTATATCAACAGTAATAATTTCTAATATAATGTTACTTGAGTTGTTCACATTTGCTGGGCTGAATAAGGGGATGGACAGAAAACAAACTTGATCTATATTACAACTCAAATACTGATAACAGTTAAAATTGAATGCACAATCACACAATGGACTTTTGTTTATGGCATCTATCATGTCAGGTGCTGAAATGACCATGATACAAATATCATTAATGTGCATTTGCTCTAAATGCATGATAGTAATAATGTTGTGAGATTTGATATCATCCAACTAAAACTGCAAGAATTGCAAGCTGTTTCTTATTGTGTAAATTTTAAAACTGGCAGATGTGTTAGATGAACCAAGAATATGCCCATGAGTACATGTTATTTTTAATTTCAGGATATGTATGACTAATAATAGATTTAACAATTTAAACAACGAAAGATTCTGAACCTGGGAAAAAGTGGATTTGAGATTAAAGCTTACAAACCATGAGTCGAGCGTAGTAAGAAAGTCGATTTGAGTTTAAAGCTTACAAACCATGAGTCGAGCGTAGTAAGGAAACTAATTTTGCACATTAAATATAAATTTTTAATAAATAAAATATTATATTGCATGATTAATTTTAATGCTTTTTAAAATTTTAAAATCTTTAAAATGTTTTATTTTATGCTATAATGCTTATTAATGTTCAGAAATCTTCTTTAAAATTCATTTAAAGTGTACTTAGAAACCTAATTTCACTGAAAAATGTCTTCAGATTTTTATGGCCTCAACAAAACAGTCGTTGAGATGAAAACTTTGACATTTATAGTATTAAATTCTTTAAAACACACTAAAAATGCAAAATAATAATCAACTCATATTCAGGTTATTCCAGAAAGGGGGATTTGGATTGTGTGTATAAAATAAATAAATTTTCTTTTTGAAGTACATTTTTTAATCACCACAAGAAAGCACGGAGTTTCTACTGGATCTCTGAAAAGGTCTCAGAAGAATATATTATTTCATATTTCAGTTTGACAAAGGAATCTACGGGGCCTGACCTTCATCATATGGAGATATTGTTGGATTATGACTTATCTAGAAGGGAAGGTAAAGAAAATAATTTAAAAGCATTTTGAGAAAAGGCTAACTTATGAAAAGTTTCAAGTTCAAGAAGTTCTTTCATTTGAGTAAGTTGAATATTAGTTTGTAATAACTTTGTAATATATACTATTTTTAATGCAAACTTCCCGAATATTTTATTAATTGATTACGAAGAAAGCACACAAGGATTATCAAAACACAAGCATCTCAAAGGTAATTGTCCATATTGTGAAAATCTCACCTGTGGCCAAATGACTAAAATATTGCTGGTGAACATAACTGTGAATTTTTCTCACAATTGCTGTAAACGGTGCTGGTTATGAGAATTGGTAAGTGAAAGGTGATCTACAAAGAAGTTGCATCAATGAAACCTTACCATAATGTGTACAGAATAACAAAGTAATGCAAGATTTTGATAACTTCATCGATGATTTTGCTGGCAGTAAAGCATAAGTAAATAACATTTTACAATGTTGGAATTAAATACTGGGTTTTCATTTCCTTATAACATTGTTTTGACATTTTACAGCAATTTTGGTGTGTAGTGAAACAGCAGGAAACTCAAACCTCCCTATGTTAAAAACAGCTCTACCTAAGCCACTGTTTTTGGAAAGTAGCATTTCAGGCCTAGTCATTCCTCATATCTTCATGTGTTCATAAACTATTCATAACTATTGCCATTCTGCACGAATGTATACTATCAAACAGATAAAATTGCGGCCATTATTATTTCTAAGTTTCATCACCAAAGCATTCTCCATTTTCTTAAAGTAATTAATAGCACTTTCATTTCCAAATACAAAATTCCATCTTTGTGACCGTAATCAAATAATAAAATTTTTCAATTATAATTATCTAGTATAATCATACCTTCTAAGTTTTCTGTTAATAAATAAAATCCAAAAGTCTTATGGTGGTTTCAGTAAATTAATTATTTTGAGGACTGAAAATTTGAACGTCAGCAGCAGAAGCTAAACTTTTATCCGATGCATCAGTTAAAGTTTCTTTATATATCATTGAAAGGAAGGTTGCTTTTTACCAGCATCTGTGAAAATACTTCATATTAATCTTATCTTCATCAATTTTTGCATCATGTTTTGCTGATCGCCATGATTTTTCTGAACTTTATCATTTAAACTTAATATAAATAGTTCCATTTCAACTAGTGCACTGAAAATATCATTGCTTATTTTCATTTTTATATATAATATTCATTCTAAAACACCTGTCATTATAAATTAAGAAATTGTATCCAATTTGGGTTTTAATATACTCCATTGTTTTATCTAAGTTTCCTTAAAAGGACCTCCTATCGTAACCATAGTATAGTGCAATAAACTAGCTAGTGAAAAACAAGGATAGTAAGTAAATATCTTTGGTTAGGGCTGTCAATTTTTAGCGAGGAAGAAGATCCGAGAACACAAGATGTAACATGTCTCAGAACTGCTTTAATGCTCAAAATGTTTAAAGTGTGGGTCCATTTGTGCAATCAGAAAATTTAATGAAGTACTTGAGACCAGTGAATATAAACGATCTTGTCCATTCCTTTCAACAGGTTCGAAATTCATTGCATGTATGTTTTTTTAAAGCCCATATGTAATGTGAATACGAACAATTTTCCAGGAAGTTTTCCATAAATGCATTCATTTCATAGGCAAAGATCTATCGCAAGTTGTGCCGTCTTAACAACAAACTATAAAGCGCATGATTATTTGGTTGTTTGCGAGTTTCTTTAACATGTTTAATCTATGTACTTTATATCTACAAATGTCAAAATAAGAGGCTGTCTGCGATAATCAGAATGCAGAAATTATGGAAAATAATAACCGAATTATCTGAAGAACGAATAAGGACTTATTGTAAAAGATATGGCAGTTCACGATATGATGAAGTACGGTTTGAAAATCAAAAATCACAGTGACTTGGTGAGCATATATTAAACAACAGTAATCTAGTGAATATAAGTGGTACACTTTTATGATCCAGTATTTTCACATACAGCAAACTTTACTAAAATCAATGAGCACATTTTCCCCCGAAATTACCATGGCTTTATTCAGGAATTTCTAGGAAAAACTAGCTCGTATTCACTCCCTTCATGGGGAAAGCCAATCCAGTAACTTGGCTTCGAACCCAGGTTGAATTCCCAGTATTTAGTGGTCTGCCGCTGGTGAGGCTCTGAAAGCTCCAGACAGGGCATACTGTTTCTATTTTATACTGTATTTACTCGCATATCCCTCCCCAGTGCCAGTTTTTTTCAGCGTATGATTTAGAAACTTCTGATTTGTGGTGACAATGTTAAATGCATGCACTAACAGGAATGTGAGTAAAAAGAATATTATTGAAACTAATGTTCTTTGTAATACAATAATAATGTTAGTGTGCTGTAATGCAATAATAATGTTAGTTTACATGTGCTTTTAATGTGTTACATTTATCATTTAAGCTGTCTCTTTAGAAACAGTAGACACAACTGCGGGTGAGTGGTTAAATTCGCCAAGCACTAATAGTTTGACTCCAGGTGAACAGGCTGGCTGTATTGGCATTGTCATGGTTTTCCCTGTTTGTAACATGGATATGAGCCAGGTTCTCTTAGAAGGTCTACCATGCAGACATCCCTTGTTTTTAGGCAGATGGCTTTCATGTGCGTACTCAAATAAACCAAACCAAAGCTTAAGAAATAGCTACAAAATCGGTAAGAAAAGGGGGAAACTACGAGACTAATTACAGGATTTATTTTTTAAAGCAAAGATAAATATTGCATGGTGTACAGAATATTTTGGTAATTAGAGAAATCTAATATCGGTAACTGTATTGGTATTTTACATCATTATGTAATATGCAAACCATGTACGTTGTTTCTAGTTTGTTAATTTATGATGCTGCTTCCAACAGTATATATTACATTGTTGCAAACAACATCATAAATACTGAAAACAAAAAGAAATGTTATAATGTTCTTATGTTTTGTGTTCCCAAAATCTAAGAAAAAGAGGGAAATTATGCCAAAGCATTTAAATATTATTTGTAAACCGTTGTGTGATACTCCTTTACAAACCAAAATAAATTCAGTTCAAACTATGTGTGAACAATTTAAATAATCTTGACTGCCCTCTTAAAGATACTGACATAAATGATAGTAGCATGACTGGTAGCATCTGAAAACAAATATATTAGATTCATTACAAAAGTTGCCATTTTTGTATATGAACATACAATACAGTATTGTACAAAATTTATACATCTTTACAATATTGTAAAAACTGTACTATAAATATTATTGTAAATTGCAGAAATTGTTTACAATACTGTATAAAATTACTATATAATCAAATTATTGCTGACACAGCTATTTAAATTTTTCTTCGTTTAGTATTTTATGTAGAAAAATTAAACAGATATGCAAAATTAAAAATGAGTATATAAGGTCGGGCGAATATGCTGGCCACGTCATACGCGCAATCCCTTCACTATCCAGGTAGTCATCGACGATGTCAGCTCTATGGGGACGTGTGTTATCGTCCATTAAAACAAAAGTAGGGCCAACTGCTGCAGCGTACAATCTCACACTGGGTTCTAGGACTTCATCTCGATACCGGACAGCCGTCAAAGAACCCCGTTTAAAGATGTGCAGGTCGGTGCGGTATCCTAATGAAATCCTTCCCCACAACCATAATGCTTCCGCCTCGGAATGCGTGATGTTTTGGGACTGATTGCATGTTCGTTCATGCCATATCCTTATACGCTTGTCATCTGACTCCAGAGCAAATCATAACTCATCAGTAAACATGACTTGCCCCAGTCAGACACATTCCAATTGACATGTTCCCGGCACCACTGTAATCGTGCCCCTCTTGATTGGATGGATAGAGGAACACAAACTCGAGGTACCCTGGCGTACAGTGCACTCATATGTAACCTTCGGCGTACAGTAGCTACAGATATCGCCTTACCAATGGACACTGTAACCATAGATGTCACACGTGTGGAGGTCGCTCTGCAATTACGCTTGGCTACAATAGCAATATATCGATCTTCCGCGGAGGTTGTAATCCTTGGGCGACCGTCTGCGCGCCTTCGGACAACTGTCTGTGTGGTTTTGGAAATGTTTCCATAAACGTGAAATTACAGAACGATGAACGTCGAAGAAAAGAGCAATATCTCTGATCGACTGTCCTGCTTCAATGCGCCCCACGTCACGCCAGCGCTCAGAATCTTGCATTCGTCTTCTGGAAGTCATAAAAACACGTATGTCTTGAAAACAAATTGTACGAAAGTTTTAAACACCTTCTATCAGCACTTACAATTAACTTCTGCAACCCCAAGTTCCGCTGTGAACCGCGAATAGCTGGCTGCAATGCCAACTGTATTCCGGTTGTCATAAGGTAGACGCTTCTTCGAGCACATCAGGTGAGGAAATGCATGACTGTGAGTCCAGAGGACGGCTTTGCAGATGTAGGGGGAGTGACCATTTGTCACGTGAGAGATTTGAGGACGTCTGAATGGCTGAGGTAGTTTCAGGCAAGTAACTTAGAATACAGGCTACTCTCAAAATTACATAGGAATAAACAATTAATATATATATATATATAAGAAAAGTAATCAAGTTCCTTGATGCTATGTACAATATATACGTTACTTACATGCCAGTAAAATGTGTAAGCGTTAAGAAGAGCTATGTAGTCAGAAGTCCATAATCATGTGATAGTCACTTGAGAGGGTTACCCTCCCGGGGTTGTGACCCATGGAGATGCATCTTGAAAGTAGTAAACAGTTCATTACTGCTAATGAGCATTCACAATCGAAATTCTCATATCTAGGTGGGGAAGACTTGGTTTTTGCTTAGCATAAATGCCATAAAAGGACGAAGGTGTTTGGTCTTCCGTCAATATCTCATAATGAAACAAATTGAATGCACTGAGATGATCACACTCTTCTGCACTTTTGTAGAACTTCTCGTTTAGTTTTCGTAAATAGTCCTTGATTGTGTCAATCTTGAGGTCCTGGTGAAGACGTTTATTTCTTACATAGTAATGGGCGTTTGTCATACTCCGTAAATATTTATTTTGCAAGATTTGCAATTTAT